CAGTGCTGCACTCTCCCAAGTGCACCACGGGCTCGGCCCTGCCTCTCCCTTTTTAAAATAAATATTTGTATGTACATGCTTACATGTGTATACATACATATATGTACTATGTATATATATTATATTATTATGCATATGCATGTATATATTTCCCCTATAATTTTAGCACTGTTATATACTCTCATATAAAGAAAGTTAACAAAATAGATTACTCTGTGTATTATTAGCCAGTGGGCTTTAATGTATAATACTAAAATATCAAGAAACTTAGCAAAATGAATGCTCAAATGAATTCAGCCACTTCTGATATAGGATTGTCTTATCCATTGTGGTTTATTTTCTGTCCTTTATTTGGTATTCTGAAAAAGGTAACCAAAATTTTTATTTATGTAAAATGGGGCAATTGATATTACTGGATATACCAAACACTAAGTACAAGTCTTTGTAAAATTGACCATGTTGACACAGGTCAAAGAGTAACAGGAAAGTAGGGATTGTCAATCTTTTTTGACATTGGTATTATCATCACTAATATCCCCTGTGTCTTAGGGGATTGAATATATGATAGTTGGAAGTAATTTTTAAGTAAAGGCATTCCAACAGTCAAGGTTCAAATAGATAATCAAACCAGCAGAAAATACATATTAAGAGATTTATTGCAAGAAATGACCTACACAATTGTATGGGTTGGCTAGGCAAGTTCGAAATCAAGATGACAGGCCATCAGGAATGGTTGACTGGAACTCTAGCACAAAAGCCGAAGGTGAAATTTCTCTTACAGAGAAACTTTAGCTCTGGTCTTATAGCCTTTCAATAGATTGAATAATATCTATTCTCATGATCTAGGATCATCTCCTTCTTACTTATCATCAACTGATTACAGTCTTTCATGACATCTATATAATGACTTTACAACAACACCTAGATAGCATTTGATTGAATAACTAGAGTCTGTAGCCCAGCCAAATTGAAACATAAAACTAGCTATGACAAGCATATTGTTATTTCATGAAAGTTGAAGCAAATGAAAGAGAGAATTCAGAAAATGTTTACCTATGGATATCTACTCTCTTCCTCCTCCTTATTAATAAAAATATAGCAACATGGATAAACTTAGAGAAAATTATGTTAAGGAAAACAAACTAGGCACAGAAAGAGAATTACCACATGCCCTCACTCATAAGTAGGAGCTAATAAATAAACAAATAAATAAAAAAACAAAGAAAGAAATAAAGGTACAACAATCACAATAATATGTTGAACTCTCAAAAGGAGAGAACAAAAGTGAGGTTACCAGAGGTGGGAAAGGGGGAGGGGAAGGGGTAAGGGAAGAATTGGTAAAAAGACATGAAAAATGATTACATTGTGCAATGTTGAGTATAGCAATTATCCCGATTTGAGAACCATATATTGCACATGGGTATGTACCCCTCAGATATGTACAATCTATTATGTTTCAATTAAAAAACAAAAAAAACAAAACAAAAATCAAGAAGATCTAAAAAGCTGTATTGGAAAATAAAACCCTACAAATGTAAAAAGTTTATAATTCTGGAGATTACAAAATTGAATTGAATTAAAGAAATAAATGCATTGAATTGTTGAATTAAAGAAAGTCAATATTCACCCATTAATGTATAAACTTATCCCAAAGCTACCAATACACAAATACAAGGGAAAAAAAGCTAGAACCTTTTGCATTACCCATGAGATTATAAACCATGAACAACTACGACAAGGCTGTGATTCAAATTAGAAAGAAAAAATTCTTGTCAAGCCCAGATCTTGGCACTCTGGACACTATTTCGTATTGCACTACAGTACAATGGTGCATGGGATGATTCTCCCCTATTTTCTTTTCTTTAACTAGTTTTAAGTTCTGGGGTTTCAAACTGTATCCCTGTGATATTTACCTTCTTTTCAGAAACTTTACCGCGAGGGCTGGGATGAGATGAAGATGAGCTGTGATGTGCGCCTGGACGCCATTCCCATCCAGGCTGCCAAGGCCTCCAGGGAGATTGCAAGTGACGTGAGTGTGGCCTTTTTAACTTCCCATTAATGTAAGCAAATGCCCTCAGTGCAAGGGGACGTGCTGTGANCCACTTCTGTGGTTGAGCTGGCAGGGCTGGGGCTGGAGCAGGCAGAGGGCCCCTCACAGGGAAATTAAGGGAAGTGCTGCAGAATCCGCCCAGGCCACAGTGGACACAGCTGTGGAAAGTGGTTCTCCATGGGTGTGGAGGGTCCACGGGGGCTGAAGAACCAGGGGGCACCCAGTGGCCCACCTGGCCACGACCCTGGGTGCTCATGGTCAGCAGTGCCTTATGGCCAGTGGGCCACAGGGGACCAAAGACTTTCACAAGTTCTGGGGAAGCACTTACCAAGCTATGCAGCAATAAATCCTGGGGCTTGGGGGCCGGCCCGGTGGCGCACTGGATAGTGCGCCGCTTGGGAAGCGCGGCGGCGCTCCCGTCCGAGGGTTCGGATCCCACGTACAGACGGGCTCCCGCTCACTGGCTGAGCGAGGCGCGGGAGCAACACCGAGGCTTGCGATCCCGTTGCCGGTCCCCGGTCCGGTACGGGGGCAACACTGAGGGTTGACATCCGTTGCCGGACACGGAAAAAAGACAAAAAAAAAAAATAATAAAAAACCGTTGCCGGTCCCCGGTCCGGTACGGGGGCAACACTGAGGGTTGCGATCCGTTGCCGGACACGGAAAAAAGACAAAAAAAAAAAAAATAATAATAATAATAATAATAAATAAATAAATAAATCCTGGGGCTTGTTCGTAAATATGCACTGACTTGTCAGAAGACTGGTCAGATGTGAGGGGAAAACACCCTGTCAGAAAGAGGCCACGTGGAGTAGAGGTCTCACCCTGGGGGAAATTGAGGCAATGCAGGAAAAGGAGATCGTAAGCAAACTCTAGCTGGTGTGACACTTTCATCCACCAGAATCCTCCCTGAGAATTCTTCCACAGGTTTTCCATAAGAAGGGAACAAGAGACCACAGCTCCAGAGGGTTCTGCAGCATCCCTTCTGCAGGGACGAGGAAGACCTGCCCACCAGAGCGCCCAGGATCTTGGGCATCCTAGAGTTGCCAGGTGGATAGTGGCTGAGCAGTCCCGTGGTTACAAAGAAGGCAGGGGTCAGAACAAGTGGACCAATGGCCTACGTGGACCCGCTGTCCCCATATTTTGGTCTCCAGCCCAGGCCTGGGCAGTGGACCTCAGGCACCTCCTGTCCATCCCCACCTGCACTTGTAGAAAGCCCCTTCTCACACCTGTCCCGTGTTCTCCTTTGCCCCATGGCGCAATGTGAGTGCATCTCAAGGTCTTGGGCACAAAACCCATCCAGAGGAGTGTGGTCCCACCCATCTGTGTCTCTGCATGCCAACTCTGAGTCATCCCGCATCCCCAGCTGTGTCTTTAGGACACCCAGACCTCCCTGTGATGTCCCTCCTCTCCATCAGAGTCTTTAGGACACTGCGACCTCTCTGAATCAAACCTATTCCCATCCGTGCCTGCTCAGACCTACTTCCTTCATGAGGAACCTCCTGAATTCACCCCAACCTCGTGAAACCTTACTTTCCTCAATTTCTCCACTGTGGAAACATCCTTTTCTGAACCCCATCATCAGATACAAATCCTGACAGCCTGAATCACTGATAATTTTGTTGTGTGTTTGGTCCTTGACTATCTTAAAGGAGTCCAGAGATTAAATTTGCTAGTCCCTGGTCAGAACAGAAGTAAGAAATTAAGCACCTTCTTCTCTCACAGCAAGAATCCAGAACCCACCGGGCCTTCTTACTGCTGTCACAGTCCAAGCTGAACAGAAAAGGACAGACCTCACTCAGCCCAGGCCAAACTGAGAAGTGGGTGGGCCCCCTGCTCAGCAGGACAGTGATGGAACCCAAGATGCCTCATAAAGCCATGTTTCTAGCATCCAGGGAAACGCCCCACGGCCAGCTGGGGGGAGGGGCATGCATGTAAGGAAGGGGGGAAGGGAAGGGGGGAGGGGATAAGCGGTAGGGAGGGGAGGAAGAGTGTGGAGCCCACCCAGGTGGGACACTCCAGTGCAGGACCTGCAGGAGCCCCAGGTGGGACCTGAATGCGGAACCGCCTCTCACCACTCGTACTTGAACTCACTTTACGTGGTCCTGAGTTTTGACTGGAAAACTTCTTACTGAAAACCTTTAACGAGAAAGTCATCAGCTGGTGGCCCTCCCTGACCTCCAGTTTCAACAGCTCATGGTGACTGAGGCATTTTTGTTCATTAATTTTTTTTAATTGAAACAGTGGATTATACATATCTGTGGGGTAGGGCATAGAATATCAATATTTTGATATTCTCTAATAGGGATAATTAGTATATTCAACATCATGCAATTTAATCATTTTTGTGGCTCTTTACTGATTTCTCACTATGCGCCCCCCCCACCCCTGGTGGCCTTAGTTCTGTTCTCTCCTTTTGAAAGATCAATGAATTATTCTGATTGTTGTGATCTTTTCTTTTTTAATTTGCTTTTTTAGCTCCCACTTACAAATGAAGACATGTGGTATTTCTCTTTTCTGTGCCTGGCTTATTTTACTTAACATAATTTTCTCTAAATTCATCCATTTTGCTGCAAATGACAGAATTTCATTTCTTTTTATAGCTGAGTAGTATTCCATTGTGTATATATACATTTTCCTTATCCAGTCATCCATCTATCGATGGAGGTTTAGGTTGGTTCCATATAGTGGCTATTGTAAACAGAGCTGTGATAATCATGGGAATGCAGGTATCCCTTCAACGTAATGATTTCCATTCCTCTGGTATACACTCAGCAGTGGAATTGCTGGATCATATGGCAGTTCTATATGTAGTTGTTTGAGAAACCTCCGTACTGTTTTCCATAATGGCTGCACTAACTTACAGTCCCACCAACAGTATAGAAGGGCTCCCCTGTCTCTGCATCCTTGCCAGTATTTGCTATTCTCTGTCTTTTTGATACTGGCTGTCTAATTGGGGTGAAATAATATCTCAATGTGGTTTTGATTTGCATTTCTCTGATGCCAAGTGGTGTTGAGCATTTTTTCATGTGTCTTGTTGGCTGTATGTTGGCCTTGATTTCGTTGATGTGGTGCATCACATTTATTGATTTGAGTTCCTTGTACATTCTGGATATTAATCCCTTGTCAGATATATAGTTTGCAAATAATTTCTCCCATTCTGTGGGTTGTGTGTTTGCTCTGTTAATTATTTCTTTTGCTGTGAAGATTTTTAGTTTGATATAACCCTATTCGTTAATTTTTTCCTCTGTTGCCTGTGCTTTTGGGGTCTTACTCAGTCTTTGCCCAGTTCTCCTTCCTGAAGTGTTTCCCCTGTGTTTTCTTTTATTAGTTTTATAGTTTCCTTTGATTTAAGCCTTATATAAGCCTTTAATCCATTTTGAGTTGAATTGGGTACATGGCAAAAGAGGTATGGGTCTAGATTCACTCTTCTACAGATGATAATTCTGTTTTGCCAGCACCATTTATTGAAGAGGCATCTTTTTCCCAATGTATGCTCCTGTTGCCCTTGTCAAAGATCAGTTGGCACTAAGTACGTGGGTTGATTTCTGGGTTTTCTATTCTGCTCCACTGCTCCAAGTGTCTGTTTTTAAGCCAGTATCATGCTGTTTTGGTTACTATATGATGGAGTTTGGATGTGTTGTCACCTCCAAAACTCATGTGCAAATTTGATCCCCAACGTGGCAGTGCTGGAAACTCATTGAGCCATGGGGGCAGATCCCTCATGAATGGATTAATGCTCTCCCTGGGGGAGGGGGGATTAATGAGTGAGTTCTCACTCTATTAGTTCCTGCGAGAGCTTGTTGCTTCAAAAGACCCTGGCACCTTCTCTCTCTCTCTTCCTTCCGCTCGCCATGTGATCTGCTCCTGCCCACCTATTAGTTCCTGCGAGAGCTTGTTGCTTAAAAAGACCCTGGCACCTTCTCTCTCTCTCTTCCTTCCGCTCGCCATGTGATCTGCTCCTGCCCACCAGCTGCCTGCCACTTTCCACCATGAGTAGAAGCAGCCTGAGGCCTGTGCCAGATGCAGCTGTCCCAGAATTGTAAGCCAAATAAACCTCTTTTCCTTATAAATTACCCACTCTCGGATATTTCTGTTACAGCAACACAAAATGGACTAAAACAGAAAATTGGTACCAAGGAGTGGGGTGTTGCTAAACGGATACTTGAAAATGTGGATGCAGCTTTGGAACCGGGTAATGGGCAAAGGTTGGAGGAGTTTGGAGGACTCAGAAGAAGAGAAAAAGATGAAGGAAAGTTTGGAATGTCTTAGAGACTTATGTAGTGGCGAGCAGAATGCTGATAGAAATGCGGACAGTAAAGACCATGTGGATGATGAGGTCTCAGATAGAAATGAGGGACTTATTGGGAATTGGACAATAGATCACCCTTGCTACACCATAGCAAGGAATTTGGCTGCACTGTGTCCATGCCCTTGGACTTTGTGGAAGTTGGAACTTAAGAGTTGTGAACCAGAGCATTTGGCCAAAGAAATTTCTAAGCAGCAAAGCATTGAGGAAGCTGCATGGTTGCTTTTAAGAGCCTACTGTGAGTTATGGCAGCAAAATCTTGATGTAAAGCTGGAATTTAAAAGGGAAGCAGAGCAAAAAGGTTTGGAAAATTTGCAGCCTGGCCATGCAGTAAAGAAGCGGAGAGCTGGCGAACAATGCAAGGGTGAAACTGATAAACTGTTTGCTAAAGACATTACCTTGGTGGTGAGGCAGCCAGATGCTAAGAACCAGGACAATGGAAAAAATGCCCTAAAGGCATTTGAGAAGTCTGGAAGGGTGCCCCGCCCATCACAGGCCCTGAGGCCTAGAAGGACTGAGTTGTCCTGGAGGACAGACCTGGGGCACAGCTGCCCTCAGGAACCTGCTCCCTGCATCCCAGCTGCTCCAGCTGGGGCAGCCCCAAGTGTGGTTCGTGCAGCAGCCCTGGAGAGTAGAGTCCCCGAAACCTCAGTGGCATCCACATTGTGTTAAGTCTGCAGGCCAGCAGGAGGTGAGAGCAGTGGAAGCGTGGAAGCCTCCACCCAGATTCCAGAGCATGTATGGAAAAGCCTAGGGACCTAGGCAGAGACCTGCCACAAGGGCGGAGCCACTGCAGAGGCCATCTACTAGAGCAATACTGAGCAGGAAAGTGGGGTTGGAGCCCGTAGAGAGAGCCCCCACCAGGGAAATATCTAGTAGAGCCAAGGCAGCAGGGCTGCCTCCAGGACCCAGGAACTGCAGAGCCATTGGTAGTGTGCAACGCCAGCCTGGAAAAGCTGCAGGCACCAGCGTGGCCCACTGGGCTGTGTCTGGCAGAGCTGTGGGAACAAGTCTGCTTGATGCTTTGGGGG